TAAGCAGTAATCACTGCTGGCTACCTTTTAAGAAGAAGAAAGACAGATTTGTCTGTGCCCATGGTTACAGTTTTATAGGTACTCAAATATGTCTGCAGATGTCTGCTCCCCACTAGGAAAGCTGTGGGTAAAAGTGGGATTGTTGAAGTTAGGCAGTGAGATGCACTTTGTGTACAGATTGCTGCTACCAACTTAGTGGAATACATGCTGAGTGGTTCTTAAAATGCCTCCCAATCGATATTACAATTGGAACACATTTGCTCACATCTATAAGTGTATGTGCTGATCATCGAGGTCTGCCATGGCCCTTTGGAGCATCATGCTAAAAAAGACTGTGAATAGGGTTGGAGCGAGAACGCAGCCTTATTTCACACCATTCTTAATTAAAAAGGGCTCAGGAAGTGTGTTACGGTATTTGACTTGGCCGTGTTGATCCTCATGGAGTGAGATGATCATTTTAAGGAACCTGGGGGGACAACCTAAAAGTTCCAAAATCCACCACAGGCCTTTTCTGCTCACAGTATCAAAAGCCTTGGTGAGGTCAACAAAGGTTACATAAAGACCTTTGTTCTGTTCCCTACACTTCTCTTGCAGTTGTCTGAGAACAAATACCATATCTACATTCAATATCGTACTGATGGAAGCCTATTCAACCTAAGGCGTCTGAAGGTCCACACTAAGACCTTAAACCATCTTGTCTGGGAGCTGCTTTGTGCTGATGACGCTGCCCTTGTCGCCCACACAGAAGCAGTTCTGCAGCGTTTAACATCCTGCTTTGCAGATGCTGCTGAGCTCTTTGGGCTGGAAGTCAGCTTAAAGAAGACAGAAGTTCTCTATCAACCTGCACCTCAGGAAGTCTTCCATCATCCCCACATCACCATTGGCCAATCAGAGCTTAAATCAGTCCAGCAGTTTAATTACCTAGGTAACCTCATCTCCTCAGATGGTAAGATTGACAGAGAGATAGACAACAGGTTAGCAAAGGCATATAGTGCTTTTGGAAAACTCCACAAAAGAGTATGGCGTAATAAACACTTGAAGAAAAGTACAAAGATCAGTGTTTACAGAGCCATAGTGCTGTCTACTCTCTTATATGGGTCCGAATCATGGGTCATCTACCGCCACCACCTGCGTCTCCTAGAACGCTTCCATCAACACTGCCTCCGTACAATCCTTAACATCCACTGGTCAGATTTTGTGACCAATACATCTGTTCTAGAGCAAGCAGCAGTCACAAGTATTGAGGCCATGTTGCTGAGAACACAGCTGCGATGGGCAGGGTACGTCTCAAGGATGAAGGACCACCACCTCCCCAAGATCTTGCTCTATGGTGAACTTGCCACCGGCTGCTGCAAGAGAGGAGCCTCGAAGAAAAGATACAAGGACTCCCTGAAACAACATCTCAGCCTTGGTCATATTGATCACCATAACTGGTCTACTCTGGCCTCCAATTGGGAGACCTGGAGACACGCCATCTATTACGCTGCCGTCTCCTTTGAGAACACACGCAAGATCACTCTTGAGGAGAAAAGTCAACGCAGAAAGAACCATGTCTTGCAGAATATACCATCTAAGGAGTCTTTCTGCTGTGCCTTTTGCAATCGGATATGTCTGTCTCGTATTGGCCTCATAAGCCACCAGCGTGCCTGTAACAAGTGTGGATAGAGCCTTCCCAAATCTTCGTTCGCGAAGCCCAGCGATGATAAGTGTATGTGAAATAAACTTCTGTAAAGTCAACAAGAACAAATGAATAATGCAGGTGCAGATTAGACACTTTTTTAAAGCAATAACCTCTGACAATCTAGGTGGCATCAGAAAAATCACAAATGGCAAGGTAGAAACCACTGATTTTATACTGACTGCAGCAGTAAGTAATAGGAGAAATCTTCTTGTCTTTCCCCCACATTAATTTCCACCCTAGGTTAAATTTTGATCTCTGCTATTCTGACTATTTAAATTCTTATCCTCAAACAAGGTAATCTTACACAGTTATGAATTTACTATGTGCAATAAGGTTCAAGGACAGCCACTCTACATCATAACAGTATCTCATGCTCTAGTCTCAGTACAATGATGAGCTGCAAATCAGAAAAAGATAGACCAGAAGGAGCTGTATTTTCATTTGCTATGGCCCACAGCTTTTAGGAAACCTTGTCAAGCAAAATTTCCAGGTACTGCATTAATTTTCCTATAACTTTTTTTTTTTTAATATGTCACTTCCTTTTGTACCAAATGAAGTGTCTTTGGAGACTCTTTACCACGGATCAGCTAACAGATAATGGGGAAAAAGATAAGAGACTGTTTTTACAATGGATGAAAAACTAATCAGAAATGGTCCCTAAGTATTTTTTTCATTTGTCTCAAGGCCTCTGGAGACAATCAGAAAGCATATTGTCATTAGGGAGATTTAAATTTTGGGAGATTTTTGCACTTTAACTAGAAAAGAGATTTCTACCAGTCTCAATGAGTCAAATGTTTTCTTTTTGACAGAGAGGACAAATTTTCAGAAATCAGGGTTTCTGAAACCTAAGTCTCAGCCTAAGTCACTGTAATGGGCTCAGGGGTTTGCTTTGAGCTTTGGAAATATGCAAGATTTGTGTTTAGTGAGTGCAATAAGCACAAGCCTTTGATCTTGGATATGGCCGCCAACTGGCAAGTACATGTGATGCTTTCCTTCCTGTGTTTTTTTTTGTTTGGTTGGTTGGTTGGTTGGTTGGTTTTTTGTTTTTGTTTTTGTTTTGTTTTGTTTTTTTTTAATTTGTTAACTTATTCCTTTTTAGGATTCCACAGTTCTTTCTTTGTATTCTTCCCATCATCCTGCTTTTATAAGTTCTCAAACTTGCCACTGGAGGAAGAAGTTATAATGAGAGAAAGACTAGAAGAGAAATACTAGGTGGTAATCTTGTTGAGAGAAAGGTAACAAAGAAGTAGAACAGGCATGAGATGAGGAGAAAAAAGATACAATATAGAAGACAAGAAATAGTACAAGCCATTAGGAGGAAGAGGCAAAGTTGTACAAGTGGAGAACTGACACCAAACAGGAACTGAATCACCTGGGGAAGAATCAAAAGCACAAAGAGTAACCACAGAGAACAGGTGGTAAACAGTTTGCCTTGTAGGAAGCATGCACATGTACCTTGTGAGTGAGACACTGAACTGCAGAGCATCAGGTTTGGGAACAGGATGGAGCAGAGAAACATCTGGCTACCTTCTCTGTGATTGTCCCTGTGAGTCTGAAAGGCGCCAGCTAAAAAGTGGGGTATTGGCAAGCTTCTCATCAGTGATTCTATGAACAAGGACAGAATGTGGCTGTGTGTAAATATTTGTAAGCATGAGGGCTAAACTGATCTGATTTTGATGTCAGGAATGAGTGATGTGTGGATCAGAAGTCTTGCCTGACTGACACTGTAGGGAAAATCAAGGAAGGAGAAGGGAGAACTGTCTTTTCAGCTGTTCCTTAGTCTCTAGTGTCAGAAGCTCCTGGTTTTGAGGTAGACAGGTTGGTAGAAGAGGTTCCATGAAGACTATTCTACCCAAGACTGCTAGAAGGCAGCAGTATTCTGCTATGCTCTCTTGTCCCCCTTCACCATGTCCTCTGTTGGAAATGAAAAGCCCAAAGCGGGTACCACATTTTCCGGTCTCAAAAGTGGTTTAGCTGAACCAGTGGTTATCTAGATATAATCCCAACTTTAAATTAAGCTGCAAACTAGTTGCACTTACTTCTCAGCACAAAACTTCAAATTAGGGATTAATTTATCTTAATCAGATTGTTTATGGAAACTTGATTGGAAAGGGTGCCTTCAAAATGCAAATACTGCTTTTAAAATGTGATAACACGAACCTAACATGCTTCTTAATTATTCAGTGGGACATCACAGTATTGATAGATGATATTTAAATTATTAAAAGCATAGTTTTCAAATTCATAAGCAGGACAGTTTTTACAGGAACCTTCCCATTTAATGTGATCAGACTGATTGCATTTGTTAAGAACACCAAACAGTTTGCTATAGTATAGTCTGTACTGCTAACAAACAAAAAACCCAAAAAAGTAATATACAGAGGTGTTATTCCACAATTAATACAAGATATTCTGTCTCCTGGGTTTTAAATTTTTTAAAAAAGGAATAGAACAGTACTTATGCCATAATCTTTGTGTGACTTCTCTTTGTTTCAATTGGTTAGTTAGTGGTCTTTGTCTGAAGTGTATTACTTACACAGAACCATAAATGCACATGGTGCCTTACATATAAGCATGCCAGATTCTATGCTGCAGAATGTGTAATTTGATCAAAACAGATAGGCGTAATGTTTTGCATTTCAAAATCCACATATCTGTCTGCCTACCTCTGTTTAGTTACTTGATTTACCACAGTCATTTTCAATGCCTGTATCACTGTAGTATCTGGCCAGCCTACAAATGGATGAAATTCTACATCTCTTAGCCATTTTAGACCCAAAATAGATCAGCTCTCTAACTATAGTGATGATCAGTGTTGGACAACATGCCAGATTGATTACAGCATGCAAAGACAGATATTTCATGGCGCTTTTCACAGCAAATGCCACTTACAGTAGAAGATGTCTTGCCTCACCTTCCAGGCATTTCTCCCGAGAGTGCTCAGAATCAGTTCCACATTTGCCATCAGGAGAGGCTGCAAAGGTATGTCATCTACCAGGTGAACTTGTCTGATACCCACCCTAAGTCCCAAAGTGCTGATCAGTGAGAAGTCCAGGCTGGTATTATAATGAGCAACATTGGGATACTCCACTGATGTGGCACTGATGAAACAAGAGGCTTCACGTGGTTCCCTCATTGCTGACCACTGAACAATACCACATCATCCCAAAACAGCCCAGGACCTTGCTGTGACAGGACTTTGCTGGTGTGAAATTACAGCTTCAAATACCGTTGAGGTCACTGGTAACAGAAAGCCCCACAGCATCTGGCAGCTACTGGATGATCCAAAGGAAACTGAGCTTCAGCCTCTTCCCAAGTATTTCATGCTGTAAGATCCACCCTTAGCACTTTGTCAGCTACCTGCTTGGAAATGATAGATGAAAGTCTATCAGAAGTCAAGGCCCTGGTCCTGAAAATGTTTCCTGATCCATTGAAGTAAGTACTGTGAGGCTCTTTTTCTGGTCTAGGCATGTGTTGGCCCAGAGACTGAGATTTTAGAGGTTGTCCTTTCCACTTGAGGGCCAAGTTATACTTGAGAGAGGAAGGCTGAGCAACGTCTATGGCTTTCACACTTCTGAAGGGTGAGCAATGTCTGAGCAATGGCTTTCAGCCTCAAACATTAACAACTGGTAGTAAAGAGCTCATTTGAAAATTGTGATTTGTACCCATTCACTGTGGCTTTAACAAAATCAAGCCCGTTTTGCCAACTAGGATGGTGCATAAATAAATAACTAACTCATAGCAGCTACGAAGCCAGTGCTTGCCAGAACTGTATGTAGCAGTTCCCAAAGACCACTGGGAAGTTCCAGAGAAAAAAGAATTTTAAAATACAACTGATAAATTACAGTGTAACCGCACCTGTGGACTTGTTTAAGTAGAATAAATGTGGGATAAATGGAATATTGATATCAAGTAAATATATAACACGATGGATCAGAAATACATTCTTCTCCACACTGTCTATCTTCTGAACGCTACAGATTTGGAGAAGTGATTCGCCTTGCGTCTTGAAATTTGATACACATTCATTTCCACTATTCCTGATTTATAAGGATTATGAAGGATTATGAATCAAAGAATCATGAGCCTTGCTAAAGTAAGAGAAAGAATTGACTCCTGTGTATTGTGTGCCTGCTTTTTGAAGAAAGAGAAAACTATGCAATGCAAGTGCATTAAATTCCTATTGCAATTACTAGTTTAGAGTCTTTTGGTTTAAAATTGCTAATCGTGTAGCAGGTCCCATTGTTACACTACTGACTGGATGTCCAAGTACTTTGTGCTTGATACAAATGTCTGTTCTGAAAATCTGGCCTCAGTTATGGAGGCTAAGAAGTATTGAAAGTCTGTCCATTATTTTAATTGTTAAACTCATCTTATAATTGAACATGAAAGTATAATAGAGACACAGATCTCCTTAAAATATGAAGATACACTGAAGAACTCTTGCCCTGTCCTCACAATGTATCCTTGTACCCATGGAAGAAACTCCAGTTGGAATTGTTAGCTTTAGAAGGTCTCCTGATAGGTCACATTGCCCAGTTCAGAGGTGATATGGGTTTTACTTTTGAGAACTAGAAGAGTTATGAGATGTACTGCCTTGCTCTCTGCCTACAAGGATACTTGGCATCCAAATGCTTTGTTTGAATCATTCTCAGAAAGGCTCTTGGAGATCTGTTTTACTTTGCAAAATATTGATTGAAGTATCATCTTATAGTTGTGGATGTACTCCTGTACACTCCTGTACAAACTGAGTTTAAATAGCCTTTTTTCTATTAAGAGATATATATATATTTGTTGCAAGAAAGAACAGTAGTATTCTGTTCACTGAACTACAGGATATCCTGAGTTGGAAGGGACCCACAAGAAACATGGAGTCCAACTCCTGGCCCTGCACAGGACAGCCCCCAGAATCACACCTGGTTCCTGAGAGCCTTGCCCAAACACTTATTCAACTCCGTCAGGCTTGGTGCTGTGACCACTTCCCTGGGGAGCCTGTTCCAATGCCCAGCCACCCAACATCCAGCCTAAACCTCTGCTGACTTCATGCCATTCCCTCAGGTCCTGTCACTGATCCCCACAAAGATCAGTGCCCGGCCCTCTATTGCCACTCAAGAGGAAGTTGTAGACTGTGATGAAGTCTTCCCTCAGTCTCCTTTCGACTGAACAGACCAAGCTCCTCATATGGCTTCCCCTCAAGACCCTTCTCCATCTTTATTACTCTTATTTGGATGCTCTCTAATAACTTAATATCTTTCTTATATTGTGGTGCTCGAAACTGCCACTGAAGCTACCCCAGTGCAGAGCACAGCTGCACAATCCCCTCCCTTGCCTGGCCGGTGATGTTTTGCCTGATGTCCTCCAGGACACGGTTGGCCCTTCTGGCTGCCAGGGCACTGCTGATTTATATTCAGCTTGCCATTGACCAGGACCCCCAGGTCGTTTTCCCAGCACTGCTCTCCAGCACCTCATTCCCCAGTCTGAACAAAAATCAGCGGTTGCCCCATCCCAGGTGCAGAATCCAGCATTTGCTCCTACTGTGAACTTCATATGGTTGGTGATTGCTGAGCCCTCTAACTTTTCCAGGTCTCTCTGCAGGGCCTCTCCGTCTTTGAGGGAATCAACAGTTCCTCTCAATTTAGTATCATCATCAAATTTATTTAGTGTACCTTTGAGTCCTGTGTCCAAGTAATTTAAAAAGATGTTGAAGACCACCAGCCCTGAAATGGAGCCCTGTGGAACCCACTAGTGACAGGTTGCTATAACTCTTTGTGCCCAACTTGACAGCCAGCTGTTCACCCACCATGTGATGTGTTTATCCAGCTCTGTGCTGAACATTCTGTCCAGAAGGATCCTATGAGAAACAGTATCAAAAACTTTACTAAAATCCTAAAACTACATCAGCTGGTTTCCCTTGATCCACTAGATGGGTTACCTTGTTGCAAAGGGAAATTAGGTTTGACCAGCAGGACTTTCCCCTCATAAAGCCATGCTGGCTGTGACTGATGACTACATTGTTCTTCAGATATTTTTCAATACCTCCCAGAATAATCTCTTCCATAATTTTCTCAGTAACTAAAGAGAGACTGAGAGGCCTGCAGTTTCCATGGAGGCACCTATGAAAGTACCCTTCCTTTTTTAATTAAAAGAGGGAGTTATGATGCGTGGGATAGACTGTCTTGCCCTAGGTGAACCCTCTGACCCAGAAGGAACTTTATCCACCTTATCAGGTGGTTTGGGACAACCCCCAGTGTTAACACAGGTTAGGGGATGAACAGACCAAGAGCAGCCCTGTTGAGAAGGACTTGGGGACCTGGTGAGTGAGAGGCTGGACATGAGCCATCAGTGTGCACTCACAGCCCAGATATCCAAGTATGTCCTGGGCTGCATCCAAAACATTGTGGCCAGCAGGTGAGGGAGAGGATTCTACCCCTCTGTTCTGCTCTGGTGAGACACCACCTGCAGTGCTGCATCCAGCTCTGGGGTCCCCAGCACAGGAAGGACATGGACCTGTTGGAGCAACTCCAGAGGAAACCACCAAGGTGATCAGGGGGATGGAGCACCTGTGCTATGAGGAAAGGCTGAACGATGTGGGATTGTTCACCCTGGAGAAGAGAAGGCTTTGGGACCTGATTTTGGCCTTCCAGTATCTGAAGGGTGCCCCTAAGAAAGATGGAGAGGGACTTTTTACATTACTTGTTGTGACGAGGGGGAATGGCTTCAAACTGAAAGAGGGTAGGTTTAGATTACATACTAGGAGAAAGTTCTTTACTGTGAGGTTGGTAAGGCACTGGAACAAGTTGCTTAGAGAAGTTGTGGATTCCCCATCCCTGAAGGTGTTCAAGGCCAGGTTGGATGGGGCTCTGAGCAACCTGGCCTTGTGGAAGGTGTCCAAGGTGTCCTGCTCATGGCAGGGAGGTTGGAACTGGATGATCTTTAAGATCCCTTCCAACCCACACCACTCTATGGTTCTATAGTCAGTCTGTCCAGCTTCAGGCCCTCATACCTGTCGTATAAGGTACTAAACCTATTTGTCAACCACCAGTCTTCAGGAAGAACAGGAGCCTTCTTTCTTGTGTGCGCAGTGACCAGCTTCTGATCTTTATATTGAACAGACTTCTGAGTTACTGCTTGACATGCTACAGTGCCCACCTGCATCTCTGCTGTCATGGCAGGTCAAGACTCCTGAGACTGTGAGGACATAAACAGGCTGCACAGCATTAGTGAGGATGAACAAGACATAGGTAAGATATTCTCAGAGATTCTGCAGTCTCGGGAGTCTTAACACGGATTTTAAACAACATCATTTGATGTATTTGATGCTTTTGAACATCAGATAAAATAGCAGACGTCTATAAAAAGAAGATAATTTGATTTTCCAAAAGGAACTGGTGAATCTGAGCTGTGGATTCAAACTTTGTGTGCCACGCTCTGCATAACTTTAAAGAGTTTTTTAGAGATTGGAGTCTTTGTAATGTATCTAAACTTGATACTCTAAAAATATAGTAAAATTTAAAAGCCTGTAACTCGTAATTTAGTGGAGCAGTATACAAGAGGCTTACGAAATGATAAAGCTTTAAAACAATCTGGACCAACTTCCTTATAGAGAAAAATAATTCTAAATTATACTACTAATTTCATATAAATTTACAATCCAGAGGATATAGCCATTAAAATACAAATGTGACACAGGATGCTTCTGAAGCTAAGGAAGAAAATCCTTTTGCAAATGGGCATGTCTTGTAGTATATGAAATGAGTGATTAAGTAGGGGTCCTAGGCTGGTACACAAAAATACAAGAGTGCTTGGAAAGGATTAATAGGAGGTAAATTACCTCATGCTTTCTGTTTTTCTTGGTAACATATAAATGAATTAAATACAAAAAATATTTTGATTTATTGGATTAAATTGTATCATGTGTTATAATTATGCATTTCCTGATTATAATTGAACAGCTTCTCAGAGTAGCTGATGTGATGGAGAACTGAACTGACCTTTTATTTCAGACTTAACAGTCCTGGTTTAAGGATGAGTGAAAGATCTGTGTCCAAATTAATTATTATATTAATAATGAGATAAGCTATATATTTGCTTTTCATTGGCACTACAGATTATTAGTTATTCAGTACACTCTGTTATGTGTAGTAGTCATTACTTAGTGACTAATTACAGTGATGATTCCTGTGATATTTGAAATGTTGGTCACTCTGTTCATCGTTACCATGAAATGTGGATAACTTCATGTACAGTCTGTATGATGGTATTGCGCTATATGATGCAAACACGTATTAGCCTGATATTTTCTGATCCTCTCTTTGACAGTGTCTTGGAGATATTTGTAAATTATCAATGTCCTTGATTATCAGTGAATATTCCTCAGTTCACTTTTTAGTTCACTAATTTATATGTGTAATTTCTATGTGGAGTCAAGGGAAAACAACATTTTTCCATAAAAAACTTTATTGACTGACGGAAATTTGAGAGATAGGAGCAATAATTCAGTTGGTGGGTAGTTGTCATAGCCAGTGTACATATTAGAAAACCAAACTATAATTTTGGGAGAACAAGATCTGTGATTTCTTTCAGAATTCAATTTTGAAAGACAAAACTTCGGGCCAGTCCTCAAGGTACTAGCGCACTTTTTATCCTTTCTGGAACCAAACAAAACATTTAGTGTATTTTAAAAGAGTGTTGTGAACTACTAGCTTTAGGAGCTGTGTATGGCAAGTGACATGAAAATATGCCAGTAGACATCTACTGTGTGCTGTTGTTATATACACATGCTATTACCTGAATTCTCTTGGCTGACCATAGCTTTGAACAAACTGTTGGGATGTGTTGGATGTGATTTGAATGTGCCTGTTAAACTCTGCATCTCAGGACTGAGGCGGGGATCCCCTGTGGGCCTTGAAGGTACAAATTCAGCAGTGGCTTTCCTGAGTCATGGCTGCACAGATGCTGAGCTGAACAAGAAGCACCCATCACACTGCGTGCCTGAAATATTAGGTGCCTCTAAGATTTACTTAGCAGTGTGTTTACACAGAGGTCTTGAATGTTTTGATCGAAAATCTGCTGACGACTTACTTCAGATATCTAAATCCTTTTACGGGTCTGAGTCATAGGCTTGGATCTGCAACATGAAAGCTGTGAGCAGACTGCTGCATCTTTACAGGGACGAGCTTCTGGATTGACAATCATCATTAGATTCATGATCAACTACTAGATGACTTGTCAATCTCTGATGGGAAGAGTTAAGTATCAGGGTCTCCCAGTAGACCCTATTCTGTGGACTAAAATGGTGCATAGGTCTGCAGCAGATTCTCTTCTCCCTTTCTCCCCTTCCATGAAGATGAACTTCACCCACAGGGATGGGAGCTCACAAGGACTGAGGAATAGCATTGGCAATACTAATTTTCTAGCATGAGTTAAGACCAACATTTCTCCTGAGTTAAACAAGGAAAGAAGGCTGTTTCTAGTGAATCAGAGGATGAATCAAACGACATGAGTATAAACAAAATAAATAATCATTTGAAAGAAGGCAAGCACTTTATACTTCTAAGACAATAAATACAGAGAGATCAGTGAGAGATTTGTGATCCACTCTGTATTCTGCTGTTCTTTTTATTTTTATTAGTTTAGGTGGTGATGTTTACTCACAAGTTTACACTAAATGGAAACATGGTATTCATGAATCATTGATCTTAGTTTGGTATTAGGAATGAAAATCAAATGCTCATTGGAAAAATGATAATGCAGAACCTAATTAAGCAAATACGTGAAAAGATATACAAGAAGAAACACAGATCATAAAACATCTCCTATTTTAGAATTGCTAAACAACATCAAATACCTAGCTAGCGGGCTGCAGATCAGGCTGCAGCATGTCCCTCATTTTGTGAAAACCAGAAAGCTCTTATACTCAAATCTTGCACAGTCTGCATAAGACAGGATGTTTGCAAGACCCTTTGGGCTGGTCAGAAAGAATGAAGCTTCATTATTCACTCTCTCATGTGCCAGTGGCATGTGGCAAGTCTGGAGTATTCTGTCTGTGGTCATACCTGTGAACACAACCTGGTAGCTTCTTTTCCACATCTCTGTGGTGGTTTGCTAGACCCACTCCTCATTCACTGCCCTGAGCTACTTAGGCGGAAAGAGTCATAGAATCACAGAATCATAGAATCAGCTGGGTTGGCAGGGACCTCTGAGATCATCAAGTCCAACCCTTGATCCACTACTGCTGTGGTTACTAGACCATGGCACTGAGTGCCACATCCAGTCTCATCGTAAAAACCTCCAGGGATGGAGAATCTGCCACTTACCTGGGCAGCCTATTCCAATCCCTGATTACCCTCTCTGTAAAGAATTTCTTCCTAATATCTAACCTAAACCTTCCCTGGCACAACTTGAGACCATGCCCTCTTGTTTTACTGATAGCTGCCTGGGAAAAGAGAGTGTTCTTAATTGACTCCATCTTGGCCCAGAATCAGCATTTCTAGAACACCCAAAATTACATATTTATGGAACTGAAGTACTAAAGGTGTACAATTTGTTCTTTAAAATTTGGCTCCCTTTGTAGTCTTCACTTATAAACTCAGGTAAATAAAAGAACACATGCCTGGCTGAAATGCAGAATCCTTGCATTTCTGCCTAATTGCTTCCTCATTGCAGTCCTCTTTCAACACTTCTCCTTCTGCTTTTTTTTCAAGACTGTGAAGACATTTCTACCTGGCTTCATATTTGGCAGATGATTGAAGATAATTGCTAGATAAATTTGGTCACCACTTAGGGACCCTGTAAGACAATAGCTATCCAAGCTTCTGCGTGATGTCAGGACAAGGACTTGGCCAGAATAAATCTTTTTCCTGTTAAACTTAATCTTTTATAAGGAATATTTTTGATAAGTCAGTAGGAAAAAAAAAAATCACATTTTAAATAACACACTCAAAGTACCCCAGTCAAGAATCCAGGGACTAATTTGCTTAAGGCCAAATGGCAGGCTTGTGCAGGTAGGCAAGCATGCTTACCGGAGGAGGAAAATGCTGAACTAGCTGTTACAGGCAGTGCCAGCTGTGGCATATGCCAGCACTGGCACTATTTTTCTAGGCAGATATACATCAGCTGTCTAACCGTTCCAAGAGATGTAAATCAGTCTTGTTAATTATCAGAGAACATGGTCAATTGCTTTCTTATAGTTTTGATTTATTACTTTTTGCTCCAAATCTTACAAACCAGAACAAGCAGCATACTCTGGTTGCTTATATGTTAGTGTTTCCTATGCAGTAATTGATATATATACTACTTGCACATGAATACACTCGTTCTGTAGTACTACCTTCAAGAGGTAATGCTTTGGCCATGCCAGAAGAATTTTGTCTGGATGACAGATTCAGAACTGTACACAGCCTATCCAATTTTATCTGAAAAGTGTTTTTTAAAACGTAGAAGTCAAGAATTTAGCAAGAAAAGGTTGACATTTAACCTGTGTTTGCATAGGAACTGCTTATTAGCACTAGAGCTATAAAGGCAAAGATTTGCAGTTTATACCTATAACAAAGCCACCTTGGCCTCCCACTCACCTGGCCCCAGGGGAAACAAGATATTATCCAGAAAAAAATGTTGTCTCTCCTAGTAAGGTCTTTTGTCAGTATAGCTACTTTGAGTAGGGCTTTATATTCTTCTTACCTTCAGTGTCTTCCCAAACAAATTCCTTGTAGTGTAAAGCTAGATGAGTATTGGATTTTCACTTGTAATATCTGCACTTGGAGGTTATTTCCTTGTGTCAGACTTCCCTGTGTTAAGGAAACTTTGCTGTCTGACCCTTCAGGAGCCACTCTGAAAGTTATAAGTACACCACCTGAGCTGGGACCTGAGCTGAGACTGAAGCCCCTTGGCAGTGGTGGCTCCAGGTAGCTGATGGAGGCCCCCCTTGACCCCCACATATCCCACTCTCACACAGCCAGACCAGGTTTCCTTACCAACTTGACCCCAGGTTTCCCACAGCAAAGTCTCAGATCTCTGGATCCTTAAAGTAATTTTATCATGGTGCAACAACAGAATAACCACTCGAGCTGGTGCTTCTGAGGGGGAACCCTGAACAAAGGGACTTCTGGACTTTATACCCTCACAGTCTGTATGCGGGCAAGTGTGGATTCTTCTTGCTGAGTCCTTGGCTCCTGTGGTGTCTCTGAGTTCCCTCATCTGGCTGTACACAGGTCCCTGTGCCCTTTGTTATGCAAAGGGTCAG